AAAAAAAAAAGATGCTAAGAGGGCATGGCTTTGAATAAATTCTCTGTCCTTGTCCCTCATGTTGGCACAAGTGGTAGCATGGAAAACATTGCCAAATGTTTTCCTTTCATTTCTGTTGCAAGATCATGAGAGGAAAGGAGAGGAGAGGAGTGGAGAGGAGAGGAGAGGAGAGGAGAGGAGAGGTCCAGATTCCAGCAGTTCAGCTCTCCGCCAACGGACATGTCCAGATGGTCTGGAGAGAGAAGGCCTTTTGACTGAGATACAAAGAAACACTTGTGAACGACAAAATCTAACTCTCACAAATGCACAGATACACACACACACACACACACACACACACACACACACACACACACACACACACACACATACACACAGCTGTGCCACGTATTGTTCCATCTTAGCTCGGCCGTTCGCTCCCAACGTTGATGGAATGTTTGACTGTCCGCCTCTCGCTCCCTCGAGACATGATGTCACTCCAACAAAACGCCGTCTTTTCAAAAAAGAAACGGCTTTTTATGTATTCAGGGCCTCACAATGTAACGACAGAGGGGGCAAGGAGAGCGCAGACACATGGGAGAAGAAGACATTAAGGAAGAGGTCACGAGAGAGATGGAAAAAAAAAAAAAAAAAAGGACTGGATATGCTCAAAACTCATGATAAATTCGAGGCTGGTTTGATGGTAGTCATGACAACCCATTAAAACGAGACGTAAAGTCCCATTTTCGCCTGCCACAATGATACAGGGGAATGCAGAGGGTGAGCCGGCTGTGAATGTGTCAGAGCATAAGCACACTATTATAACTTTATTATGGATTTACCACTGAGAATAATTACTGTAAATGATGGTACTGCGGAATGGTGGAGAGTGGAGGGATGAGGAAGGAATAAAATACATGGATAATAAAGAGAGGGAATAAAATGAGCTGGACAACATTTACGATACAGTACGTACCTTTAAATATTCCCAAAGTGGAAACTGCACCAGTGAGAACGGGATCTGAAAAACACAGAAGAAATAAAGTTGTAATTCTCAGGATTATACCAGCGTTATTTTCTGATTTTCTGAAGGGTCAAGTTTCATCTTTAACCTCCACTCTCCTGCACTTGTCATTCCTGCCACCTTTCTCTGTTTCCTCTCACTTGTCTGACTGCTCCCTTGTTCCTTCTCACTGCTGATGATTAATGAATGAGACAGGGCTGTGGTCTGACAGTCCTGAATGGATAGATGGATGGATGGAGGGAGCAAACTTGGAAAGAGGAATAGAGGGATGGAGGGAGGGTCTAGAGTGATGGTTGGAGTGTGAGTGTTGCCACTGGAAACATTAAATCGCCTCAGGCAGGAAGTTACGGCGGGAGGAAATCAATGGCAGTGCCAAGGCAAGGGGCAAATGACACACAGTCAGACCACACACGCACTCACTCACTCACTCACTCACACAGAGAGGCATGCAGACACATGCAAAGGAATGGGCATACTTTATATAAACAGACACATACAGAAAGACACACAAAAACACTAATTCAGACTAAACACAGACACATATATTCTCTTATTCACAGAGACACACTGCAGACACACACACACACACACACACACACACACACACACACACACACACACACACACACACACACACACACACACACACACGCGCGTTTCCTGTCATCTTATGCTGCAGGCATGGCAGAGCAGGAGGACAGGAAGGAAGAGAGGGAACAAAAACAAAACCAAAGAGAGAAATAAATAAAGTGACACTGAGTTGTGTCATCAGTCTTTGATCACGGCAACAACAGGATCATTCATCCATCTGTGCCGCCTCCGCCAACATGTTCCATCAGACTACGTTAGCACACCGGTAAAACCCGGACCGATCCAACTCTGAGTCAGCGAGAGCACAAAGACCATACATGAACTGTGTTTATGCCACTTAATGAGCTTATTAAGCACTTAGTCCAAATGAGGTGACCTCATGTAAACACTCAATCTGTAGTAGATTAGGTTTGAGGGTATCTGCTGCATCTGCTCTGTGAGAGCTGAAAATAAAACTTTTGAGATCTTTATAAGGACTGAGTTTTATTAAAAGCCATTTAAAAACAAAAGTAAAGACATAAAACTGTCAAACGAGTGTAAATTCAATTGAGCGGATCAAATTAAATTTCGGAAATGGACTGGTAAAAAGATCAATTGTATCAAAACCAAATATGACAAATAAGAAAAAAAACATGTTATTTTATATTAAAAAGAGATTGAGAAAAAAATCTTTCAAAGCTATTTAATCGGTCTGACGTGTAGTTTTTTTCTTTTTTTAAGTTCAGTTTGCTGTTTCAATTAAAATCCACGACAAGCCAATACTGTATAGAAATCTGCATTGTAAAACAAGTATAGTACAAACACTGTAATCATCAACAGAGAGAACACCTGTCAAGCAGACAGAGCAGTTCACAGTGATAGTGATGGCAGAGTTAATGTTGAAATTGGCTGTACTTTTTGAAACGAGCCTTCAGTTTCACTCAGACATAAACGATAGCAGGCCTCACATGTGTTGCTCCAACTGCAAGTCCACTGACAATGTAAGACAAAGCTAATGACAAAACCCTGCAAGTCGTCTGAAAACGAGGAATTATCGATGAGTTTGACAAAATAACGTTATTTAATCCAAGTTTGAGTGGAGTAGTTGCTGAAGCGTAATCCTCCCCCAAACCAAACAAAGAGCAGGACACAGTGTTCCTCTAAAGTCTGGTGCGCTGTAGCTGCCTCTTGACTCACACAGTGGATGTATCAGCCATCAACAGGTATTTTTAAAATGCAACTCGTAACCACACTGGCTCATTACCAGTAGTAACGCAGCATTAGTCAAGTTAAGTCAGTTTTTATTTATAAAGTGCCAAATCACAACAGAAGTTATCTCAAGTCCTGCATGGGATAATACGGGATAATACCAGAGGAGTTGTATGTTTATGTGTGTTTACACACCGTGGGACATTATTCAGGTTTCTCCGTTCACGTCCTACCATCAGCTGATACCGGACTTCCAGATTCATGCAAAATATGACAGGTTTTTGGGCTGTTGGTGGTGGTTACATCAATAACCCTAGCTCCAATCTTCTTAGCTGAGGCTCATCTGTTGCTGTTTTAACTTGCAGTTTAATACTGGTGCATGCATTTAGAATATCAAAGAAACACCTACATCATGGGTGTCTGGTTAAACTGTCCAGTTACTAAAAGTTGATCCAATCAATCAGAATCCAGATTTTTCAATGGCCATGGTATAAAGAAATATATATCATTTTATGTATTTTGGGTTATTTATTTATTTTTTTAATAAGTACAGCTCAGTGACAAACACTTGGTCACTGCTTGATAAAGCAGGCCCGGCACACAGAGCCAACAGAAACGTTCCAGTGGAAACTCTTCATGCCCATCTGGTCTATCCAGGCAGACAGAGGCAAATTCTCTCAGTCCTCGGAGATAATCTAAAAACTTTATTTGACGGACAAGAGGTCTGGTATGCAGCCCCCTGAAAGTGCGGTGTTATACGACGAATAGCGAGCACACCTCTGTTTTCCAACTGTGGCGAGATGAGAGCGAGCTTTCAAAAAGAATAAAAGTGCACCTGTCTTTTATTACCACCTCGATGAGTTCTGATTTTCCAGGCCAGGGAGAGAGAGAGAGAGAGAGACAGACAGACTGAAAGACAGTGTTATTATTATTATTATTATTATTATTTTTACATAAATTGTACCTTCAAGATTAAATTAAATAAAAATCATAATTTCTATTTACTGTGCACAGAAGTAACTGGACTTCTTGATGCACCGCAACGAGTGAAGCAAGAGAGAGAAAGACAGATGGGTTCAGCAGAGGATCTGGAAAGACTGATCCACCAGTGATTTATGACTTGGTTTGACACTCCTAGCACACTGTGCCTGCGGTGTGTGTGTGTGTGTGTGTGTGTGTGTGTGTGTGTGTGTGTGCGTACGTGCGTGTGTGTGTGCCTGCGTTGCCCAGCACAGATTGAATGTCTGAAAACCAGATGTGGTCTGATTAAAACTGATAAGCCATTTATAGTTAAGGGAGGGTTGAGGGGGTGCGCGCACACACGCACGCGCACACACGCGCACGAACACGCACGCACGCACACACACACACACACACACACACACACAAACACTTGAAACATGCACACCTGACGAGACGAGGCATATGGCAGGATCCAGGTGTGTGTGTTTGTTTATTTGAGTTATGAAATTAAAAATAAAGGGTTGAGCATATCTGAGCTAATCACTGCAGTGGGTTAAGTCAAACCACCTCGTACCAACAAGCTCTAATTTATCAACGCAATACATAACCTGATGCTGGTGAAGTGATGGACGGAGATGAGAGACACAATAAATCTCTCCGCTGACTGAGAAACCAAGATAGGCAGAGACAGAGAGAGAGGTGCTGAAGAGAGGGGATGGGACACGTAATCCATCTCTCCCTCCCTCACCGTCCCCTCTGTTAAACCACAGCTTGATCACCCTGTGAACATCCCCATCAAAAGTCTGCTCATTTTCTACTGAGCTGCGTGCAGCGCGTTACTCTCTGTGGAATGAATTTTCACCACAACAGCAATCCCGGTGTCACTGCTCTGACTTGCAATAAAAACACAAGCAAGATTTTGCAAAACAGCCCAGAGGAGCGAGCAAGTTGTTTGCTTTTTTTTTTCGCTCTTCTTCTTGCTTTTTCTTTTAGAGGTGGTGGTAACCTTGGAGATAGACGCGTCCACCACGTTTGACACCTGACAGACAGATGGTCACTCATATCCTTCCTGTCCCAGTAGTTCTGATTGAAGAAAGATCATCTGAACCACATGTGTTTCCAAAGTAGGAGGAAATACTCTCTTCATTCAGGGCACATTACTCTGTGGCACCATGATGAGGAGTCCTAGGCTTTCAGACCTGTACTGGGGAAACTGTACATATTCCATAAATGTTGTTTAAACCTCCATGAACTTAGAAGAGGTGGATGAAGAAAAAGGAAGAGGATGAAGACAACCCCCCCCACATACATACACATACACACACACACACACACACACACAACAGACCAGTAATTGTATTAGCAGCCATTTTAACAACGGTAATTAGTATCAGACGCTGAACTGAAGTGTTACACTCTTGTTTGACTCCTCAGTCAAAGCAGCTAATCCCTCCACAGTATCGGAGATCTGAAAATACAGTTATTAAGGAATTATGTGTGACAGTTATTATTCAATTGGATCATTGTGCAAATGCCTCAAGGTGGAATATTGGGTAATGTGTTTTTCACAATGATTTTGGGCAGTCATCCCTCATATTCCTGCTGGAAAAAATATCACTGTCTTGCACAACTGTGAGAGGTATAATGAAACACACACGGTGATTATCCCACTGCCTCCAGTTTTACTTGATCTCATTTTTAATTTTGAAAGCCTCTCACTCAGTGGACTCGCGGAAAGCAGGGACTAAACTAACCATAAACCATTCTGACTTACACTATTTCATCACAGTGGACACAAAATATTTCTGCTATTGTGGATAAACCTGGTTTTCATAAACTGTAAGTCATTTTATTTCAGATCAAAGTCCAGTTTGGATATGACACGGTTGTTGTTGTCCAGCCTTCCTCCCCCTCGTCCCTATTTGAATTTCTCTTGTAAAGAAAAATCACTTTAAAACATTTTATTGATACTGGACGCTTTACAGTAACACACATACCAAAGTGTTTTGTGACTCAATTTGAACAACACTGAAGCACAGGAGGTTCTAAACCAATTGTAAATGTCCTACAGGGTCACCATTCTGCAATAATATGAAAAATATGAAAATGCTGTGAGCCAAGCATCACTGAGCTTTCATCAATGAACAAGCATTGTACCAGAGCTGAAATGATGAGGCGACAGAAAATGATCACCAACTATTAATAATAACAATAATCAATTAATAGTTAAAGTTTTTTTGGGGGGTGGGGGGGTT